CACACACACATGCAGAGGCCAAGGCTGTCCTGGTACTCTTGCCTCTCCATCTATCTGTCAAGTCTAACAGGGCAGAAAGCTGACCTGTTCTGGCATGACTGAATGACACTAGAACCAAATGCCTCAAGATGGGGCAAGTTTCTACAGAAAGACGACTAGAAAAATGACATGGCTTCAAACTTCAGCTGTGGTCTTTTCTTCCTTCTCAATTCAAGTGCGCTCTCTCTCTCTCTCTCTCTCTCTCTCTCTCTCTCTCTCTCTCTCTCTCCCTCTCCACCCCCCTCCCCCACATCTTCATTCTCACACACACACATCCACTCATGGATACATTCTCCCATTTTCTCTCAGACAGACTCATATACTAACAGTCTCTCCTGTGTGCACATGCCTGTGCGTGCGCGTGCGCACATAGTCACATTCTCCCAGACACAGGCACTTTTCCACACTGCCTGTCTTCAGAGTGGTTCCTGTACATTAAGCACTACTTCCTCCAGCACCCCCCACCCCCACCCCCAACTACCCTTGCCCCTAAGATCACTCCAAAGGTCAACACTGCCCAGTTTTAGTCCCTGCTGCTGCTTCTTGTGACTGGGTGCACCCCTGCTAGGTCTGGCTTCTTAAAAGGAAAAAGACACCAATGTTGGCCCGACAGAGGAAAGATCCCAGCCCCAAATAGATTGTCCTACCGTGGGATGCAGGTTTGTGGCTGCAGCCTCCTGGCCTGTGAGACCATCCCATTTATCTCTCTTTGTTCCACTCCCTCTCTCGCCTCCTGCACAAGGCTGCAATCACACATACTCTGGGTCGGGGGGAAAAAAAAAAGGACAGCCTAATTTCTTGATGATTATGTTGTTACCTAGCAACGGCCTATCAGGGGCTAGGCTTTTTGCCTGCAGTATTTCATGCAAATAGTTTGGAGAAATTGCAGGGTAACCCAGGCTGCTCAGGCTGCTCTTCTCAAGGGACACATTACTGAATAAAACAAATCCAAAAGGAGACTACCCAAACCATGCACATGCTTTGCATAGCAGGCTGTCTGAGTGCTCTCACTGCCTCCTGCCCTCTCTGTGGAGATCGGGGGAAGCAGCTAAGTCTTCCCTGATGGTTGGGGCACTCAAGAAAGCTCAAAAGTTCACAGGAGCTTTTCTCCCTTTACTCTGGTTGTCCATGCAGACAAATCTGGGCTATAGCAACCTTTGCTCTACTGGAAAATGAAAAGCCTACTTTTCCAGAAAAGCACCAAAAGTCACTCTCCCAGAAGTAAGTCAATAGAGAATACCATAAGAGATCATTCTCAATTACCTTTCCTTCTTCCTTCCCACCTACCTCTTCCTCAGGGCTCCCAGCTGGTCGGGATCTACCTTCTGTTTAACCAGCTCTAAAGGTATCTCTGCCTCTGCTACTAGACCCCTGGCAGTAAAACCCTGGTTTTACAACTGTACTTGGCCTGGTGCCTCTCTGAAAAGGCCTACCTAAAGACAATGGCTAAGACTTGGCAGAGCTGATGAAAGATGGAAACCGTAGATGTAGGGAAGGCTGTGGGAAGGCAGGCACACTAACATGCTGTTGGCAGAGCTGTGAACTGATCTAACCTTTCTGGAAAACAATCTGGAAGTATTCAGGGGAAAAGTTACCAAAACATTCAAGCCCTTTGAGCCAGAGAGCTCATTGCTGAGGATATGCCTCAATAGAAGTTAAAGACAGAAAGTTCAAAATATACTAAAATTTTAAAACAGCACTCTTTGTGGCATCAAAGAATTGGAAATAAAGTAAATGTTCAGATGTGACCTGGAATAAGTCACTTAACCTTCAGTTAAGTTTAGTTCATTAACTGTAAGATAAGAAGGCATCTCAGGTCCTTTCTAACTCTAAATCTATCATCCTGAGATCCTATTATTGGGGAATGGCTAAACAAACAGTGGTAAATGAAGACAACTGAATACTATTGCACTTAAAGAAATGGCAAATATACAAAACTCAGAAAAACACAGGAAGGCTTGTGTGAACTGATACAGAGTAAAGCAAACAGAACCCGGAGAACAATATACATAATTACTACAATGATACAAATGTAAAACGATATAAAAGTAAGCTGACCCTTCTATAATTATAATGACCAATCCTGAAGCCAGAGAAGAGGAAATGGGCCTTCCTCTTTTCCCTGGAGAGGTGGGGGACTATGGAATGATGCTTACCCTGTCAAATGCAGTCAATTAATCAGGTGGTTATATTTAACTATTTTTTCCCTTTGTGAAGCCTGGAAGAGGGCAGGTGAGGAGGGTGAGTGTGGGGGCAAGAGGTATATCTGGAAATGGCTGTGATGTAAAAAGAAGAGGTATAAATTAAACTTTAGAATAAAGACAATGGGTAAGGAAGCTTGAAAGGCAGCTGGGTGGTGAAGTGGATAGAGTGGTAGACCTGGAGTTCAAATTCAGACTGAGATTCTTACTAGCTATGTGAACCAGGGCAAGTCATTTAATCTTTCTCAGTTTCCTCATCTGCAAAATGAGGGAAATAATAGTACTTACGTCTCAGAGTTGTTGTGAGGATCAAATGAGATAATATGTGTAAAGTGCTTAGCACAGTGCCTGGAACATAAATGGTGCTCCATAAATGCTTATCCCTTCCCCCAACCCCTACTCCCCAACCTTGAAAATCTTTACCACTAATCTGGACCAAGAAAGAATAAGGCTCTTCTTTCATCACTTCCCTTGACTACTCAATCCCCCTTTAGTCTGGCCTCTGCCTTCCAACAATCTACTAAAGCTATTTTCTCTAAGGTGACCAATGAAAGCCTACAACTGTTAGGAAGAGGTGAAGAGGTCCAAGGGTCAGAGCAGAGCTGGTGATCCTGGCTCCCACAGGGATGGAGGTCAGCATCCAGATAGGAGAGTTAAAGAAGGGTGTTGGCAAGAAGGTTGGGAAAAAGGGAAGACCCCAGTGGGATTTGGGCTATGTGCAGGCTGGAGTGGACTCCCTGAAGCCTAGTCCACTCTGGCTTCTAACACTAGTGGGATCTGAGCAGGGTTCAGCCTGGGATATGTTTCCCTCTGTAAATATGGGCATTCTCTCAAGGCTCTGTTCTTGCTCTTTTCTTCTCTCTTGGAACTCTCCTTTGTTAAGTCCTTCTATCGACTGATGCCAGTTATCACATCCATAGAGATATATCTTGTCTCTATTTCTGGCTCCAACCTGTATTTCCAGCTGTCTGCTGGACATCTTCACCTGGATATCTTACTAGAGTCTCAAACTCAAAATGTCAAGAACTTAGATGATTTCCCCTGCAAATAAATGCCCCTTCTGCTAACTTTCCTCTTGCCTTTGATGCTCTTACCATTCTTTCTCCCAGTCACCAAGGCTTAAAGATTTACAATCATTCTTGATTCTTTACTCTCCCTTATCCATCCCCCCACATTCAGTCAGTTGCCAAGTGCTATTCATTCTATATCTCTACTATCCTTTGCATCTGTCCCCTCTTTTCTATTCCCATGGTCACCACCCTAATCCAAGCCTCCATCACATCTCAGAAACTCCAAGGGGTTCTCTTTTGCCAATAAGAACTATGAGTCTGCCAGTTAAACCAAGCCTCTTGATCTCCCTAAGTGTCATTATGCTGTCTCCCACATCCGTACATGTGTCCAGTCTGTCCCCATCCCAGGAATTCTCAACTCAAACCACTGAAATACTTCTCTTTCTTCAAGACCTCAGGTGCTGCCTCCTCCATGAAGCCTTCCTGGCCCTTCTGAGCCAAAAGGATTTTTTTTCTCCTCAGACTTGCTCAGGGCACTTTGGATCTTTCCTTTGCCCTTACAATAATCTGCCTTGTATGACATTATTCATATTCATGTCCTATTTCCAGAGTATGTAGTAAAACTCTGGAAGGGCAGAGACCTTGTCCTTTTCCATGTGATACAAATCATCATCATCTGGCACAGTACCTTGCATACAGCAGGTGTTAATAAATGTATACTGAACTCAATCTCACTCAAAGAGGCAGCACGGCCTGATGGTGACAGTATTAGACGTGGGTTCAGGATTACCTAAATCCAAATTCTGCCTATGCTACTTACTCATTTTGGGACCTGAACAAGTCATTTAACTACTCTGCCACTCTGCTCTTGTTTATTGGGATCCAAGTCAGAGCATGGGAATGGGTCCACACAACGCTTCACCACTACCAGAAGAATTACTCAAAATACTTGTTCAATATTCAATATAAGAGATCTGTGGCCTGAACAACTGGGAAGCTTCCTCCAATGAAGCAGAGAGCAGGCATATGCACCATGCCCCTCTTACCAGTTCCTCACCAGAGGTCCACCCAATCTGCTGTGGGGCTTCCTCACTTTCTCTTGAAACTGAGAGGTCACCAGTGGAACATACATGCCATCTAGCAGTTATCCTTCATTCTTAATACATGACCAGCTCACCTTCTGTTTCAGTAATTAAGTTTATGTTTTTCTTGACTCCATTCTTCTTCATAGTTCCTTATTTGTGGTATTTTGTTGCAGTTTTCTGACAGTTGTTAGAGGCTGCTGGTGACATACTAGTGCTGGGCCTGGAGTCAGGAAGACTCGAGTTCAAATCCAGCCCCAGACACTTTGTAGCTATAGGCAAGTCACTTAACTTCTATTTGCCTCAGTTTACTTGACTGTGGGAAATAATATTCTCAAAAGGGGGGTAATAACAGCACCCATCTCATAGTGTTGTTGTGAAGATCAAATGAGATAATATTTGAAAAGTGCTTAGCACAGTGCCTGGCACATAGTAGGTACAGTATAAATGCTTATCCCCTACTGTTTTCCTGTTTAATACCATGAACTAATACCACCATTTCTGTGCTTCTCTTCCCCACCCCCAAAGAGTAGATGTTCATGTTCTAGCAGTTGTAATTAGGGGATGACCAGGTGGCCTCATTTTGCTTAAATCACATTACAGCATCAGCTAAAAGAGTTACCAATCTGTCCTCTCCCAAGAAAACAGAGTTGGAGAATCTTACTCACCTCAGGTGGCTGGGTGACAAAATCTCACTTGGACTCTAAAGGAATGGTCTTGGGTGCCAGATAACTCCAGGGTCTTCACATCAGTACAAATGAACCAACCAAGGTTCAGGTGCCAAAGCAACTGGAGCCACTCTTCAAAGGAGGCAAGAAGACAAGAAGTGCAATCTTGGGCTGGAGCAGGTTTTCCCATCCAAAAGGGACATTTTTTTTCACCCAAAGCCTACAAAATAAAGGTCCAATCTGATTAATCTAGGTTGAATGGTGAGGAACTGGTGATTAATGTTTGAGGGATAAGAGCCAAACAAGAAGTTGCAGTCTGTTTTATAGTGGAACTGAGTTCCATTATGAATGGTATGCGAACCATAAGATCAAAGCCATGGTTGGCCTAGACTTCCCAGAACTAGGCTAAATGCTGTGGCTGACTTCAATCTCCACTTGTATCCCAAGCTAACCGGGACCTCAGTCTCCTAATCTGTCAAGTTAGTGACCTCTTAAGTCCCATCGAGCTCTAAATCTATGCTCCTATGACCTTATAATCACCTCCCACTCATGTCACTGTCTTCCATTTGGCTCTTATTTATCCTCCAGTATCAATGAGCTTTACTTCTTCTCAAAAAGATCCAATCCAACAAATATTTATTAAGTGTCTACTATATGCAAGCATGGGTTACTAGGTGTTACAGTGGATGAAGCTCCAAGCCTGGAGTGACTTGCATATGTTATTGTTGTTGTTCAGTCGTGTCTGTTCCTGACCTCATTTTGGGGTTTTCTTGGCAGAGATAATGGAGTAGTTTGCCATTTCCATCTCCAGCTCATTTCACAGATGAGGAACTGAGGCAGACAGGGTTGAGTGACTTGACCAGGGTCACACAGCTATAAAGTGTCTAAGGCTGGATTTGAATTAATGAAGATGAGTCTTCCTGATTCTAAGCCCAGTGCTCTATCTATTGTGTCACCCAGCGGCCCTATAAAGGCAAAATGAAAAACAGTTCCTGTCCTCAAAAAGTTTACATTATGCTGAGGGGATACATGTAAGCAGATAAATATACTTGCGATAATTTGAAGAGGAAGGAGAGAGAGCACTAACAACTAGGGAAATTAGGAAAAACTATCTGCAGGTGGTGGTACATGAGGAGACACTTTCAGATTCTGCAGCTGCCCTTAGTCCATTTCCCCACACAAGCCCATGATCACCCAGTAGTGATGTTGCAATTGGATAACAAGACCAGGCATTTAGAGAGAAGAAAGCTAGATGTGATTCCTTAAGTGCCTCAAATGGTGCTTGGAATCAATGGAGTATGGAATGGAAGAAAGGGGAAAGGCAAGGAGAAATGTTACAGCCATTTGCAGTCTGGAGATTTTCTAGTCCCCAAGCAGCCCCATTTATTCTGCATAATTGCTTCATTTCCACTGGCAAGGCATCTCAAAATGAATTTCATTACTGGTGCCTGGGATATCATATTGATTACCTGGCTTCATTGATTCCTATCTGGCTAATTAGCATATAAATTAGCCATTTGGGGAAAGCATTAGGCAAAATTGAATTTTCTTTTTAATCCTCTTTCAGAAGGTAAATGAAAATAGATGTGACCTATTAGGACCAGTGCCCTTCCTATACCTCAATCCAGCCACTCTCTTTAACTGGGCAACCCTCTGTATGAGGAGGAGCTCAGGTTCATAAAGGAATTCTTATATGCATAACTGGAGCCCTCTCAGAGGGTTATCAAGAGAATCTAGAGGGCAGGGAAGAAAGTCTCTAGGCTGAGGGAGTTTTTCCTCTAGAGAAGTTCCCGTGAGCACCAAAGGCACTTAGCTGTCAGGCATCCTGACAGTGATCTCGATAAGCTGCTCACTTCAAAGGCGGGAGCCCTTCTGTTGATCACTTTTACATCAGACAGCAGGAGAGACCAAGCAAGGGTTTCCAGAAACCTGGGGCTGTGCTTTCTCTGGAGAGAAAAGTCAGCTTTGAACTCTCCCCCTCTATCTGGGTCTCCATTTCCCAGGTTGCTGGTCTCTGAAACAGGCTTATTAAGCAAACCATCTGCTGGGGGCCTCTAGGTTTTTTGCTTCATTCTTGTAGGCAGTGCTTAGTAACAGATAACCCTCAATTAGAATAATAGAATCATATCATTCCAGAATGGTAAAGACCTTAAAAGACTATCTGGCACAATTCTATCACAGTACATATGAGGAAACTGAGGCTCAGGAAGATTAAGGAACTTGCCCATGGTCACAGAGCTGTTAAGTGCCAAAAGCAGGATTGAAACCAGGCCTTCCTAAATCTAAGTCCAACAGGTTCTTAGCACACTACCTCTAGTCAGAACCCGAATCTGAGTGAGCATCAATAAGAGCCATGAGGGTCATCGTTATGATTCCATTATCATCATCACTGTCACTATTTGAAAATGAAAAGCTCTGAGGAGCCACATAATTACAGCTGGACACGTTCCTGGAAGCTCAGAGTCATCAGCAGGATGATGAGCCAAGGATGGCTGGTGGTGGATAGTCCATGAAAAACTCAACTGCCACCTTTTGCCAGCCTGATGCCCACACAAGAAGGCAGCTCTCTGAATGTCCTGCTGGAGAAGCCAGTGCCAGGCTCCCAAGAACTAGGAGGAAGCAGTTCAGCCTCAGAGTGATTGCTCTTGTTTTCTGAATTGTAACCTGACCCAGATGGGAGATTTATGTTCTGGGAAATTCAGCCATGCGACTGCTTTGCATTTCTACAGTGGCCTTCTGCTGCCAGCCAGCCAGTCAGCCAGCCAGACAGTATTAATTGAGCAGCCACCATATGCTGAAGGCTTTTGGAGATAATGAAAAAGAAGATACAGTCCTTCCTCCACTCCCACCCTATCCCCACTCCCCTTCAAGAAGCTCAGTGTATCTGGGAAAACACAACTCAAATATTTGGAAAAGATTTCAGAACATTTATGAAAACAAACAAATGAGCACAGGGAAGATAGTAGTGAAAAGCACTCTGAATGTGAGGTCAGGAGAACTAAGTCCAGATCCTGATACCATCACTTACCAGCTATGTTACCTTGGGCAAGTCACTTGATGTCTCCAAGTCTAAGCATCCTCATTTGTAAAATGGAGATATTACTTAGACTATCTACTCTCACAGCTATTTGTTAACTTAAAAGTGCTCTACAAAGTGAGCTACTGTTATCATTAGCCCCTGCGCTGTTTCAAATTTTTATCGGTGGATGAAAGCATAGATGGGATGTTTATTAAATTTATAGATGATATAAAGTTGGAAAAGACAGCTAACTTGTTGGATGACAGAGGTAGGATCCAAAAAAACCTAATTAGGATCTTGAATCTAACAAGAATACGAAAATTAGCAGAAATAAATGTAGAGTCTTACATAGGTTCAACAACATCTAGTAGAGAATAGAGGAGAAATCACTAGACAGCACAAATGAAAAAATACAGGGGTTTGTAGACTGCAGAAAAGTGTATGACATTAAAAAAAGCTGACCTGATCTTAGCTTCATTAAGATATCTATAGCACCTGGATGATGAAGGACTAGTTGCCCTCTGTCCTAGTCAGACTCCATTTAAAAGTTTTTTGTTCAGTTCTGGCTAACACATTTTGAGAAGGTCATTGATATTGTAGTGTGTGTCTGGGGAAAGCCACCAAGATAGAAAGTGAACTCTGCCAACCAAAAATCTGTTGAAGGCTTGGGAAGGACATGATTACTTTCTTAACTGGCAAACGGAAACACAGTTAGACTCATTTTGAGTGTCCTTATGGGGCAGTAGTAGAAAATACGGCAGCTGCAGAAGCACATCTAGACTTCCCAAAAGTAGTTGTCCAAGAGTGAATGGACTGTGTGTCTCCATACCTAGTAAGTTTCCCAACACTGGAAATTTTCAAGTAGACAGGCCTCTACTTGCTATTTTAACTTTACAAGTGAAATTCTTCCAATTCCGTGATTCTCTTAATTAATACGTAGTCATATGCTCCACTTTACACAAAAGTTCTATGCCCGAAAACCTGTAAGTCAAATTTTAATAAAATCACATAACTTAAATGTATATGTAACCCCATCCTTCCTACAGAGAGTTATCTTCCAGTTCTAAATCTATGATTCTCCACATGATTTTCCTTTTCTTCACCTAAGAGAATTTTCATACTATTTGCTCTATTTTGTCTTTCATAGAACCACTGTGGATTTCTGAGAAACAGAACTATTTGATTTGAAAAAGACCACAAGATTAAGACTTAAAGAATTAGAAGGCTATTCAATGATCATGGTTGTACCAATCCAAGTAATCTTATGGTCTAAATATTAAGTTAGAGATTCAGTGTTATACCAATTAAACTACCAGTGAGTTACTTTATGGAACTTGACAAAGTAGCAAAGTCCATTTGGAGGAAGCTCAAGGACAATAATTGAAAAAAGCAGGAATAAAAGGGGAATAGCACTTAAAGATCTCAAACATAAATACATTGGATAGAATGTAAGCTCCTTGAGGGCAGAGACTATTAAATGTTACCACTTTTCCTCTATGGCTTCAGCACTTAGCCTAGTAACTGGCGCATAATAAGCACTTAATAAACACTTGTTGATTGATCAGTTATAAAGCAGTAATCATCAAAATTAGGTGACTTTGGTTAAAAATATTAAAGTATATCAGTGGAACAAACAGTAAGTAAAAATCAGAAATAATCAAACTCCACCTAGTGTTCAACAAAGCCATGAACATAACTGTCTGGGGGAAGTGATCCTTAACAATAAGAACTGGTAGGAAAAATGAGTAGTTTATCCAATTAGTCCAAATCTTACCTCAAGGTCCACAATAAGCTTCAAATAGATACAAATGGTTCTTATTTTTTTTTAATTGAGGAAAATGTGAGGATCTCTCTCCTGCAGCTATAGTGAGGCTTTCTCTAGCATCAAAGGAGGCTTCCAAATCACTCTGGACATTTGCCAAACCATACCACCTGCCCTCTGGTCATCTTCCTATACCTCTTCCACCAGATCGTGGACTCTGATCCTGGGACCTTAGGCTCTGATGGGTCACCTTTCCCCTTCTCTTGCCTGGAATCAGGCTTCCTTATTGCTTCCCAGTCATTTCCAAACCATGCTGGCACACACGGAATCCCTCGACCCATGAGAATGTAAGCTCCTTGAGGGAAGGGACTGTCTTGCTTGTATTTGTATAGTCAGTGATTAGCACAATGCCTGGTACATAGTAAGCACTTAATAAATG